CAGGGGGAGTGGATAATAGTCTGGAGGAAGTTGACTGCCGAACGAGCTTGCGGCTGTGCCCTGTCGCTGCAGTGCCCGAAGTGTCTCAGTGCGGCAGTCATCACAGGAAGTCCTATGGGAGTAAGCTTTGAAGGTGACTGGTCAGATCAGATTGAGGGAAGCAGACGCTAGTGTATGTGTATTTGCTAGCCACCGCGAGAGGTTGAGCGTTGGCGCAGTTTGCAGCCTCTGTGATTGACTGTCCATAGGCGAGCCAAGATCTACAATCCCGTGACCGCATGCGCGGCGTGGCGCTTAATATGGAAGGTCCTAAATGGTCACTACAGGTACACACACAACAAGTAGCATGAATAGAACTCGAACATCGCTTTTCTGTAGAGCCCTTTTTACGCTATTTCTCAGAGTAAACACTGCCCAGCCTCATCCGTCTTACCTGAATTCTCACTTGCGAGTGTCTTTTGTTCTGGAATTCGGCACATTTTAACATTTATGACTTTTTACGAATACACTGTTCTTCCACTTATATCATGTATTCAGTTTATGACCATGGACAGTTTTCCGCCAGAAGTTCAGTGCATTTTGGCACTTACTTCTGCCTGTCTTAGTGCTGCAAAGATCACTCAAAGGGCCATAAAGCTGATGGAGCTGCATGGCTTTGCCAATTCACCACTGGCCTCACTACGTACTCCTCCAGTTCCTCCTGTATCTCCTCTCTCATCTCTGAAGGCAGCACTTGCGCAGCTTGCCTAGCATTTAGCTTGCCGTAAACATCTAATAGCATGCGCATCCAATAGCATCTTCATCGCGGTGCCCACCCGGTTATTCTGCCTGGCCTGTCCAGCCTACTTCATTTCATCCCAACCGCCGCCTGCTGGTGTCGCACTACCTTTGCTGCATGTCTCCCCGTTCCTTCATCTCCAGTTAGAGCAAACGCTGTAAAACCAGTCCACCCAAAGGTTATCGCTTCAATCATACTGGCGTCCCTAGCCCCGATCGTACCTCCTACGTCTGCGACACCCGGAGTGGCAGGCGTATTTTGGTTGGTACTGGCGCCCTCAGCAGCTGACCTTTGGTGGTTCAACCCCGGCCTCTTTCACCAGGCCGTCAATACTTCGCAAGTTGTCACTTTTCGTACCTGCTCCCTCTCTTTGGAATCGGTTTCTGGCGTCTCTTCCTCTGGACATTTGTCGGTGCTGACGTGCAGTGTGCCATTCTCGGTGCAGACTTTCGTGCCGCTTTCAAACTTAGGGTCGACTGTTTTTACTCCCGTCTACACGAACAGGCCACGAAGCTGGCTGTCCAAGATATCCACTCCTCCAAGATGTCTAACCAACTTACCATTCAGGACCTCGAGCCGATGGTACATTTTGACAGCTTCTTGCCAAATATTCTGGTCTTACCTTCGGTGCTACCCTACCACGCGACGTTTTGCATCACATCCTAACCACGCGTCCTCCTGTGTTTTCTCGGCCCCGCCGTCTCGTGCCTGCACCTCTTGCTGCTGCCAAAGCCGAGTTCGAGCACATGCTTTAGATGGACATTGACCATCAATCTGAAAGCTCAGGAGCCTCGCCACTCCGTGTGGTCCCAAAGGCTGTCACAGGTGACTGGCGTCCCTGTGGTGAATGCAGGGGCTTGAACAGTGTCACTAACCCGGACCGCTACCCCTTTTTGCATCTTCAAGACGTTGCCAGTGCTCTGGACGGCAAGTCGTGTTCACGAAGATCGACCTGGTCCATGTCTTCCATCAGATCCCTATAGCTCCAAAGGACACTTCGAATTCTGCCGCCGCAATCCATTTGGTCTCCCTGAGTTCCTGTGCATGCCGTTGGGAGTCCGTAACCTTAAGTTAAAATCTGCCGTATCGTGCTACAGCACATTTGGACAGGAGCTTCTGCCTGTCTACCTCGCTGTGAAACACTTCCGGAACTTCCTTGAAGGCAAAGACTGCACTGTGTCCTCTGACCAAAAGGTCCTTTACTTCGCTTTCAAGTCAAATACCGGCAAATTAAACCCCCAGGAGATTCGCAAAGTGGACTATATTTCTCAGTTCATCCGATGTATACACCACATCGACAGGTCACGCAATGAGATAGCTCATGAACTGTTAAGGCCCCCATTTGTTCATCTGCAACTCTTTCCCTAAACCGCGAACTGGCGAACCAGTACCTGAAGCACCAACGCACAACAGTAACCGCCGCCTCACGCCATTCGTGCATGAACTCATCGCATGTGTCTACGTGGTCATATGCGTATCCATGAT